ATCTATTCTCTAAACTTTGCGTTGAGATAGTGTTTAAGGGATGCCGTTAGTCTGCCGCCTGTCTTTGCATTGTCAAATGCATGCTCATGTTGCTGAAATACAACCCACGATGCCACCTGTAAGGACTGTTTGAACACGGAGACATCACACAAACAATTACCCACGCACTTTTGGGGCTTCGGAGATGATAGGGTATGTTACATGTAAGCTTTGGGAAATTTATTATCTGTGAGAATGAAACTCCATTAAAAGGACTCAATTACAGTAAAGCCATAAAGAAGGGCGGATTTGCTCAGTTGTAAATGTAGTCTTTCAACAACTGAACCACTTAAATCGGAAATTTGTGAAATTGAAAATCTTTAACTTTAGGATACTGTCAGACGATGAAAATTAAGTTTCCTGTTTGGATTTGAAGTAAAAAGTCTTTTCATAATCCACATATGTCTAGTATTTGTTGATGGTCAACATTATTTTAGAGTTTGTATAGCGTTCTGCCTTAACACCTACTTAGCCTCACGAAAAGTATCTGCAAATTCTGTAAACCTGAAAAGAAGAGGTATTGTATTTTGAAACTCCTTGCTCCGTGTAGTTGGCGTAATTTTTTTACAGTGTACAGTGTATAGTTCTGTTTGTTTTATTAAAATGCTGTTGCGAAGAAACACAACAAAAACGTACCTACTCGTACCTATTTTGACCACAGACGCGAAATTTAAACTCTCGAAAAAGTAGCTCGCGAATGCTACAAGCGCCAAATTAATACCACCCCAATAATTTTACACAATCGAACAATAATCAAAGAAAGGTATAGCTTCTTTCGATTACACTGACATTTTCTGTCGTAGAGCTTGACTGTCGTATGCTGTGTTTGTATAGGTAATCATTCGGTTTCGAGTTCAATTTGGAATTAATTCCGAAGCGGCTCGTGCAATTTCAGCTTTTTGAAAAACTCACAAGTGCAAATTATTTCCAAATTGAACGAGAAGAACCTTATAATTATTTATTAATGATATAAACATGAAAAAAGTCGCGTGGAGGAGGTGCTGGAATATCTTTCTTGAAGCCATTTTTTTCATTCGAGAAAACTTTTTTCAAAGTTTCCACACAAAATTTTCGTCATCATTTTACGTGGTATCATTGGCTTAGAAAA